AGTATGGAGATAACGAGGTTAGTTCAATCAGGAGGGTGAGGTGCTCTGCTAGCAGTTGAGGTGTGAACACCAAGGGAGGAGAAACTGCTTCTGTAGTTGGAAAGCCATTCACAGTCTTTGTTTAATCCTGATCTGATGGTGTCAAATTTGCAAATGAACTGGAGCTCAGCAGTTTCTCTTTGGAGTCTGGTCCACAGGACCCTCTGTTGCTTTTTACAGATTCAGACTAACACGATTACCCCTCTGATACTGTTGTAAGAGATTATTCTGTTCCTGTTGTGCCTTCATACTTCAAAAGCTGTCACAATGTAACCATGGTATTTTGGGCATGATCCATCTCCTGTCTACTTCATTGGGGTCAGAATCATATCTATGATAAGAATGTTGTATTGAACCATTCTGTGGTAAAATAATTGAACTGTAATATGTTACGAATAGTGTGGATTTTTGTCCTTTAAATGTTTTTTTTGTTTTAGTTAAAACAACAGACTTTATAATAATATTGATAAACTGCATTTAATTTTTCACAGGTTAAGATGTCATGTTGTAGAAAGTAGCAAGCCTTCTACTCTGACATTAAAAGAGAATTCATTTAATATTCCTACAAAAACCAATGAAGATTTACACTTACAGGTAAGAGAGTATTCTTTCTTACAAAATGGTCATTGAACAGAATTATAGATTAATAGTTTGCCATTATAAATGGCAGTAGAAGATTTAATGAAATAGTACAAAACAAGTTCAAACTGAAAATATTTTCAATGGAGGAATTGAATGCTTCAGAGTAACTGTAAACCAAATACAGTGGCATAATTATTTTAATTATTCTTGATATTAACTCTGCTACATTTTCCACTTCCAACACACTACTCTCATTCCTTTTATATGTATTAGGCCTGGTCTACACTGGTGGGAGGAGATCAATCTAAGATACGCAACTTCAGCTACGAGAATAACGTAGCTGAAGTCGACATATCTTAGATAGACTTAGAATCACTTAATTCACTTCCTCGTAGCGCGGAATCCACGGCCACTGCTCCCCCGTCGACTTTGCATCTGCCTCTCACCATGGTGGAGTTCCGGAGTCGACGGCAGAGTGATTGGGGATCGATTTATTGCTACCCGCCGATCCGGCGGGTAGTGTAGACATACCCTTACATACCTCAAGTAGTAGAATTGCTAAGTGTCCCTATCTGTCGATTAGTAGAAAAGTGTCATTTTTTTATATACATACATAGACATATCTATCTATCAGTCTATAGATCGAGATAGAATTGCTTATACCTCTGAAATAATATCTTCTACAGATGTGATCCAAATTATGGGAGCACACTGTGATAGAGGAATTCTTGAAGATTTTTTGTGTGTATCGTATAAAATATACTGTTGGCTAATTTAGTATTGTAACTGCTTCTCAGAATTACCTACAGCTAAAATCACTAGAGATAGGAGAGTTCATTCATTAAAAAGCTGTTTAATATCATATAACCTATTTTTCTTTTCAGCTAACTCAGTTATTACAGGTTAATAGAAGACTTCAAGAGCAGATTGATCGCTGTGTCTGGTTCCAGCAGCTAATAGTTGTATTAGCATTGTTCTTAGTTGCTATTGCTACCTTTTGCTTCTTCCTGTTGTACACTCAGAGATGCTAAACAGCAATGCTTTGCACTACACGTGCTGGCTGTGTTAATCAGTTTGAAAAGAGAGAGAATCCAATGCTGCTCCATTAAACCCTGAAACTACCAAAAATGAGAGAGGTCTGTACTGTGAAGTACAACGTTGAGTCATACTATTTGCTGTTAAAAGAAGAAACGAAAGACCAACGAGCTCAGAAATTTACTGAAACTGTCTTGACATTTACAGTACAGGAAAAAGAGGATATTAAAAGAGCTAGGAGCTATGTTTACTGGACAAGTTATTGAATATTACCAAACAGAAAAGATGAGTAAATGTAACAATATACCGTAACTTAAAACTACATAGAATACATTATTTTTCTCTTTTTGGTTGAACTACTTTAAATGTCACCTTTTTAGTTTCATTCATGCTCATGCATACAGGGTATACTAAAAGGTGCAAGCAGGCTGCTTAAATTTATTTTAAAAAAACCTTTTTTTTCTTTTTTTTTCTTTTTTTTTTTTCTAGAATTAAAATTGTTACAGAGTACAGGTTAGATTTTTCTTACATGATGTGTGTATGTACATAGTGTGTATGAAAATAGGGAGACCTGAACCTATAGTACACAGTAATTAGATGGTCGTTCTTTTTGAAATTCAAGAACAGCATCCTTATCATGGTTAAGTCTTTATTTTTGGTTTTTTTGGAATGTAAAATTATTGTATAAATATTTCATGCCAAACAGTATACACAGTACATCAGTTTGTAGCCGTATTCCCCAGAAAAAATGCCTGCCATAATTCTGAAGACATTTGATAAAAATACTTTTGTTGAGACGCTGTCTAATTAATTATAGATATTTTGTTTTATTAAATTTTCTTTCTTTAATGTTTACTAATTTCACATTGTTGTGGAAGGAACTCTTTATACAAAGTCCAAAGCAACATGCTGTTAAGTAGGTCAGCAATAGTCAACTGCATGATTCATATAAAAGCTAAAAATCAATGTAAGAAACATTTCTGACAGAGGTGCAATCATTCAATCATGCATGGAATATTTGGAAGAAACAAGCCAGATCAGGAAAAGATTGGGTATATTAGATGGACTATGAAAAATACAGTATCTGCTGCTGCTTTGAAAGCATTTTAGGAATGTTATATAAAATGAGTGAGAATTTATTCTAGCAAATATTCTTTGTACTCATTTCTGTAAATATTTATATTGAAATGATCTAAAAATTAAAAGCCTAAAAGGAGACATGGTATCTTTCATAAATTTTTAAGCCCTCCCCTTTTTTTTTTTTAACTGACCATTTATAATAAATGCTTAAAACTGAAATCTGGTCCTTGTTTTCACCACAAATTGGCTTGTCCGGATAAGTCTCTTCATTAGTGCTGGGCCGATGACTTTGATTTTTTTTAATTGATTAGAAAAGATCATTGCAGAGTTCATGTTATATTTTGAATGTACTCTTCCCCCCGCAAAAAAAAAACAAATTTAAGGGGGAAAAACAGGACAAACTGGGTGTCAGTGTCTCTTTAATGATTATAGGTGTGGCATCATTGACATAAAGTAAAAGAAAATTGTTTAAAAAAATTTGATCAGTATTTTATTCTACAAAATTGTAGGTAGTGAACTAATAGACTAATTCTGATGAAGCAGAATATCAATCCAATAAGGTTACTGAAAATTTACTATATAAAAGGAAAGCTTTTGCAGGAATACCTTTGTACTTGGTGAGCTATACTGAATTAACTCATACTTCATGTAATTTTATCACAATGCTCTCTTAATTTTTCATTATTCTGGGTTTTGTTCAGCTTGCTTTCTGCTGTTCTTTTATTTTCTATAATATTTAATACATTCAAACATAGGTTACCATTAGCCATATTGTTTAAATTATTTTCCTGTACTTCACATTCCAAATATTTCACTGTCAACAAAGCATTTAATGGAACATCCTCTGGAAAAATAATCTAGAGTTCTGGTAACATTCAGTAATTTGTAAATTAGAGACAAGTTTTACTAACTGTTTATAAAATGCTTATCACTAATTTTGACTGGATATAGTAGCACTTTATTGTAAAATTGCAAGAAATATATTCTTAGAATCTTTGCCAATATAAATATTCTAATGTTCTGGTGCTTTCATATATTTTCAGTATTTTTAATACTATGTTAGTATTTACTTTGTATAATTGATCAGATGAACATGTTTTCTATTTTAATATGTTTTAGAGGAATAAATGCACTTGTGAAATATAAGGAAAAAATGTGGCATTTACTGTTCAGAGTCTTAAAAAATTGATTGTCGAGTTAAAAATCTGTGGGTTTTGCGGTAGGAGTTTGTCCTTTTAGGGTACAGTTCCTAGCACAATGGGACACCAACCTAGCAATGGCCTCTAGGTACTAGGTTTACCGTGTGTGTGTGTGTTTGTTTGTAATGTACACACACCACGCACACAGTCTTGTTAAACCTAACTAGAATTTCAGTACCATATAGCATATGAAGATATAAATGTAATCCAAAGATCATAATGAACCACAGAATAATTTCACTTTTGGGGCTAGGTTTATTTGGTACTTCCTCAGTGCAAGGGGCTGGACTTGAGGACCTCTGAAGGTCCCTTAGTGTCCTACATTTCGATGATCACGCAACATACAATTCTTCTTTGAGTAGTGTCCCTATGGGTGATCCACTTCAGGCACACCTGTGCCTCTTGAGCCTTGATTGGAAACTTTCAGCTAGAAGTGTCTGTTTGGCCCGTGCATGTTCCCTATGCCTCCTCATGCCAGACACCAAGGCTATATAGGGGTGCACGGGTAATCTGCCCTCACTTCCATCTCAACTGCCTCGACCTGAGATGGAGACTTAACGTGTCTGCCTTGAGCATGCCTCAGCCTTTCTAATTTTCCCCTAGTGTTAAGCTACTTAGTCTAGTAGTTGGTCGTAGTTTGCGTAGTTATAGTTAATTAGTTTTTATACGTGTTGAGGGATTAGTTTGTTCTCCTCTCCCTTTTCCATCTGGGAGACTCGTTTTCATGGCAGAGCATGCCTGGCTTGCCAGGCTTCAAACGCTGCCTCTCCTGCCAAGAGGCTATTCCTGTAAGCGACAGCCATTCTAAGCATGTCCATTGCTTGGAGGAGTCCCACGTCTCCCAGAAGTGAAACTTCTGCTTGACCCTCAATTCTAGGGGAAGGAAGAACAGGGACATCAATTAAAGACTGTTCGCGATGAAATGCTCCCTGTGACCAGAACCAGGTCAGGAGACCCTCTCCCCTACACACACACTACTTCTGGCCCCAGACAGATCCAGCGTCCCTCCTACCTTGGGGCATGCTTCCTGTAAGGAAGGGAAAATTTTGGAGGCTTCTGGGAAGACTCTCAAAAAGAGGAGTGTGGACTCACTCCGGGGAACCAGCTCCAAAAAAGATCAGGTCCCCAGCCAAGTCTATGGTCTCTGACAGTACTGTTGAGACCAAGGACTCCTCCACTGGTACGAGCTAGGCTGTGAAGCCCCAGAGCTCTGAAGAAAAGAGACATCCCTTCAATAGGGCCCCAGTATGCTCTGTCAGTAAGAACAGTAGTCATAGGGCACTATTGAGTTTGTCCCAGCCATGGATATAGAACCAGCCTTCCATACTATTGCAACCCTTATCCCAGCCATTGACATTGATGCAGTCTATCCAGCCACCCGTACTGGTGCATTTGGCATCAAACAAATGACGACGCCCATCTTTAACTGCGGTGTTGCCATAATCATCTTTACCATCAACTTCGGTGACCATGGTCTCGGCTACCACGTTAATGCTGGATCCTTTCTCATACCGCATGAATCCTATACTCTAAGGACGTTTTGGTATCGGATGAACTGGAGTCTTTGCTTTTTTTATGGGTACAGTGTGGCTTTCAGTACTGAGACCCTGTGTCCAGGCTACTATCCTCCGGCACTGCAGGACTCTGCACCATTTTCAATGGGTGCCCTCCCACCATAGGATGATGTGAAGAAGGAAACTTCTAAATGGTGGGGTTCCCCAACATATCCCTTCAGAAATACCTTTTCAGCTTGTCAACAGGGAGCATTATACTGGTCACCAAGGGTGGTGGAGCCAATGCTGTATGCCACCTCTACTTGCTGTAAATTGACAGCAATTTACCAAATCACTGGTAGTGTCTTACAGGGAGACCAGGGTTATGCAACCTTCACCTCGCCAACCAGCCTCCTCACAGGAGACCGTTGAGGAGCAGGAGGCTAGGCGGATGAAACTCCAAGTCGTCTTTGTTGGCGGATGAGGCGGTTATGCCTCCATCACCTTCCATTGCTGACAACTTCAGACAATTTCAAGACCTCATTAGGATAGCTGCCATTCTTCAGATCCCTTCAAAAAGGTCAAGGTTCCACAATACAAAGTGCTGGATATCTTGCAGTCAGCAACACTCTCCAAAGTGGTGCTCCCTATCAGTGAGGCTAAAATGGTGTGGCAAACACCTACCACTATTCTGCCACCCCCCACCCCGTAAAAGGGTGAATAAAAAGTACAATGTTCCCCCCTAAAGATTCTGACTTTGTTTTCCTATCTCCTACCTAACTCCATTGGTGGTGCATGCAGTAAGTGAATGGGGTAGACAGCATTTTTCTAGGTTTATCCCTTACCATAAGGACTAGAAAAGGCTGGATCTCCTATGGGTGGAAGTCCTATTCATCAGCAACCCTGCAATTTTTTATTGCAAATTAGCAGGCAATCATGGCTAAATACAACCTCACCAATTATAACAGGCCTGTGACCTTTATTGAACAATTGCCACAAGTTCCAGCAGTATCAATTGCAGCAGTTGCAGTCTGTGGTCTCTGAGGGCCAATTAATAGCCAGAACTGCTCTTCAAGCATCCTTAGATGCTGCGGACACTGCTGCCAGATCCATCTCCACAACGATAGGCATTGGACATCATGACTCCAGCTCTTAGGGTTTCCGAATGAGGCACAGAACACTGTGGGGGACCTCCTCTTTGACTGTCATAAACTCTTTTAGGAAACCATGAAGTGTCCTTGCACATACTGAAGGACTCGAGAGCTACTTTACAATTCCTGAGTGTATATATACATCTACAAATAAGAAGAGTTTTAATAGATCACAGACTGCCCAGAGGTCATGTTCTGCTCAGTTTTCTGGATTCCATAGATCCTGTGAACCCCCCCAGAAAGAGAGACAGATTCCAGAGAAAAAGAGCTGCTCGGCCACCCAGGCCTCATCCAAGCAGCAGTTTTGATAGGTTGGTCAAGAGTTTGAATCCTCCCAGACCTCTGGAGTTATAGTTGCGCCCATTGACCCAACTCCCCCTTTGTGGACCACCCTTTTGGTTTCCAGCAAGCTTGGGGACAAGTGGGTCATGGAGGTCATAACATCAGGCTATACCATCCATTTTACATTGCTCCTTCCCTTCCACCTCCATTCCCTGTCCCTCTTCAGGGACCCTTTTCAAAAGCTTATGTTAAGACAACAGTTGGACGCCCTCTCCTCCAGCTAGGAGCAATAGAAACAGTCCCTTCCCCTCACATGGGTGCAAGAGGTTTTACTCAAACTGTTTCCTGGTGTCAAAGTCTTACATCCTCTGTCCTTCTATCTTAGATCTAAGATATTTAAACAAGGACGTGAAGCCTCAAAAGCCTAGGATGATGACTATGGCAACAGTACGTCCCTTACTGGAGGAAGGAGATTAGTTTTCGGCCCTCTACCTACAAGATGCCTATTTTCATATATTGATACACGCATCACACAGGAAATACCTATGCTTCACCATAGGCCACGATCATTTCCAATAGCAGGTGCTTCCCTTTGGCCTGTCATCATCCCCAAGGGTGTTCTCAAAGGTATTAGCAGTAATGGCAGCTTACCTTCAGCAGGAAGTGATCCTGGTCTTTCTGTACCTCGACAACTGGCTGCTCAAAAGTAGTGTTATCCATCCACATGGCCCTTGTTCTGTTCCAGGAATTGGGCCTGCAGCTGAATGTGAAAAAATCCACATTGACATCTGTACAAAGATGCAGTTTATATGGGGCATATTTAGACTCCATTGACAGCCGGACCCTCCTTTGTTTGGGCACTTTAGGACTTGGCAGCTTGCACCTTTGTGATGGATTACACGAGGTTGCATTTTTTATGCTTCCAATGTTGGCTCTGATCAACCTACTCCCCAGTCAGGGATACCCTGGACAGGCTGTGATGGTTCCCCTGCAAGTTTTTTTTTTTTTAAACCCTCCCTAAGCTGGTGCAAATCAGTGTCTGTGTGGGCATACTTTTCTGTTGCCTGACCCATCAGAGACTTTAACAACCAATGTATCCCTGTTAGGATGGGGAGCCCATCTCAATGCCGTCACAGTTCAGAGCAGGTGGACAATCCAGGAAACCGATCTACATATCAGTCTATTTCAGGGCTGTCCAGAATGCTTGCAGTCATTTTCTACCCCTCATCAAGGACAAATCAATCAGAGTCATGATGGACAACATATCCTGCGTGTTCTACATCAACAAGCAGGGAGGAACAAGGTGCCCCATGCACGGAAGCAATGAA